TCTTTGACAGCCTTGCGTGTAATTTTCAGTTCCAGGAAGCACGGAGATTGTGTCAACCTCTACCTGTGCCACCTAGAGACCCATGTTCTTGGAGAAACGATGATTCAATGCAACATAGCTTAATATAACTGCCAGAAATGTCGAAACCCGCCAGCGATTACTACCGTAGCAACTTGAAACCTGATTGCTTCGACGGCTTACCAACTATCCGATTTTAAATAGGCTAGGATCAACTGTAATTGTGTGTTCTCGTGGTAAACCTCTTCCAATGTAGCTCACTTTACCTATAGGGGCAATTACGTCTTAAACGGTTACGCGCATCACATTACTGAATGATCTGATTGCCATGTAGTAGTACAAGGTCTAGCCATCTAATATGTCGCAAGGACTAGGCCTCTTATATACTTGTTTGAGGCACTGCTTGGCCTAACCTCTATAATATAATCATTTGGCGGTTGCCTACTCTGCCGTTTTTTGTGTCCTACCCAAGCGTGCTTATTTGGCGACCGCCGACACAAGGCTTGCCGGACTGCTAACGAGTTCCCACAGGAGCTTTGCTTTTACTCTGACTTCGGATTAGGAAAATTCTTATGTTATTTACGATAATTTGAAACCTTATCGATTTTTTTCTGCGTCAAAAATGTATACGGGAAGGACGTTTGAATTAAGTATTCACTTTTTAGTTCCCGACACCTATGGTTACAAAATTATGCACGTAAATTCTTAGCCTGCGTGCCTTTCCATAACTGTGCTGATTTTATTCTCCGCCTTCTTCAGACAGTCCTTTAAACGCAGCTCTATTTTCTTTCTTTTATAAGACGTGTACGCTGATTATTTTTAAGATCCTATCCAGATTTCATCTACTGCAATCACCTAAGGCCTTAACAGGCAACTTCGTGGCAGAATCAATCTGAAGCCACCGCACACTAGTATTACCCTATATTTTTTTCCCTTTGCTACAAGGCCAACTGTATTTTCTGCAGGCCTCATATTTTTGTTTCATTATAATTTAAGACTGCGTGATCTCAAAATCGGAGCCTTTCGTGCCAAATATGTTCCAGCTCTTTTAAGCACCATTGTGAATAGCCGTGGTCATTTATCACATTTTGTTACAATTCCGTAGCTCGTCATTGCTGCTGACGAAAAGTTAACATTTCGCGTGCAGCAGTTTTTTGGTCTGGCGTCCAAACTGTCCTAATGTCTTCCATATCTCCGTCATTCAAAACGATTGACGTAAGTTCCATTTGATCTGTTGTAGTGATTTGCTTATGACTAAATTTTCCAGTGGCTTTAATTATTTTCACCACATGCTGCCTGGGTTTGTATTATACGTGAGATGCGTTCAAGAGAACAGCACTGAACTGCGTAAAATATTTCGCCTGATCTAAGTTATTGTACTGAGGAGTTTTCGCTTTCTCTTCAACTGTTTTACAGCACTCGCCGCCTTTCCACTAATTTCATGAGTTTTTTCATTGAATAGGGTATGACAACCCTCACATCAGCTCCTGTCTACTCCAATATATTGGTAGCACAGCCTCCGGGTAAGTGGTTAACTTTTTTCTTACTACTGCAAGAATTCCTAAACGATGCATTTCGTAATATTTTTCCCAATATTATTATAAAATGCCTAGGGTCAAGCATTGTATCCTTTTCTAATCATTACCACCAGTTTCACTGAAATTTCGTCATCAGACTTACCTTTTACCGTCTGCCTACCTGAACTATCTTGCACTTCACTTCTAGCAACGGTCTTCCAACAACATCCCGGAGAAAACGTTGTCTTTAGGCTGAAGTTGGATGACTCTACTGTCCTCTGTCCCGTAGTCGGTCAAACCATGTGCACCCAGGACCCGACACTAATGCAGCAGGCCCAGGCGCAGACGCAGGCACAGAATCCACCGCAGTCGCAAACGCAGCCACAGCAACAACAACCCTCTCAGCAACAGGGTGCTGATGACCAGCAGTCCCAACAACAACAAACTCAACAGCAGCCACAACAACAGCAAACTGCCATTGAAGTAACTATTTCGCAGGCGAAGGTGTTTCCTCACTTCAGCCACTCATCTATGTTATCAATGTGTACACCGATAATGTCTCAGTTCAAAGGCCTCGTCCTAAACGAAATTTGTCAGGCTCATTTTGGGACTTGCCTGATTTTCCAAACTCCTTGCAGATAAACCTTTGAACCTTATAGAAACCTAACATACCAGGCTTGTTGTTTATTGGAGTCTGCTTCTAGTTTGTGGTGCCTGCCCTCGTAATGCATCTCATGAAAACACCTGGCAGACTCAACTGTAACTCAACCTTTTTGATATATCAGAATCGAAAGGTATTGTCAAGAAGATAAAGGAAACCGAAATGCCCATTTCTGGCTTATTTTCAACATCGAACGCTGACACTCTGAGTTGGAACCAAACTCCAATAGGTTGTTAACCATTTCAGATAAGCTTTTTTACCGTTTGTGCGACTGGACTTACGCCATAACCGGGGTAGCCAATCGTTTAATATAGGCGACGTTGTCGACAAATATTGACTAGCTGTCTTGACTGTCGTCATTGGGCGATTTGATTTCGGCACTCACTGTTCCTCTACGGAGTGCCATCTTATCCGATGCTATACTCTATTTATATCTGGCAAATAACTGGATTAACATCCTCATCTAGTACACCACTCCTCCTGCGAATTAGATTAAACCTCAAGCTGGCATTGCTTCCTTGCTTACCCTCTATAATGCTTCGGCTTATTTCAGTCGCCGCATTCTTCAGATTAAAGTCTGCCATTGTAAGCTTTCGACGAGCCTTTATAGACAGGTTGTATTTACTCCGCTTTCTTTGTCACTCTCAAGATTGGGCCCATATAGCGTCGGAGATTTTGCTCGCTCAGACATTACCGTTTTGTTAGTCTTTAGGGTAGATTGCTGGTGACTGGCATATTTTACTCGTTTGGTAGTTATTAGTCTATTAAATTTCCTTTCTCGCTAGCAGGACGAAAACGTTGTCGGCCATCAATACAAGTGTGGATACTGCCACAAACCCTTCTTCACCGAACTTGATCTGCGGCAGCACATTGACATTGTACATTCAGGTATGACGGTTATATCAGCATTTCTATCCTCTAGTAGACTCTTTCGTTTCAGCTTTTTCATGCCCTTATATCGGCCGCCTGCCACGTAGACGTGGTCTCTGCACGTCAGACTTTGTTGTTTTTATTATTACTCTGTGCCTGTCTCTTCTTCATTGTCTTTCTTTTTTTTCTTAACTGAACGCGGCGCATAATAACAACTACTTGTTTATCTTTTTCCCTCCAGGTATGCGCCGTTTTCCTTGCCATATTTGTGGAAAGGCCTACGCTAAGTCATTTTTGTTGAAGAACCACGTCAAAAGCATGCATGAGCGTGAGTCGCCATTTTAGCCTTACACTTAATCCTCCCTTGAGTAAATCGTCTTCATGCGGACCATTTTCCCCTTTCGTATTTTCTATTCGCAGAAATTCGTGACGTACTTTGCACAATCTGTCAAAAGGCGTTTTGTAAGCGCTCAGTGATGAAGCGACACATGAAGTCAGTGCATGCGGGTGAGTGATAGTGGTCTTGTTTTGTGGTTTCTACCTGACGGGCCAATTTGCATGCAACCTTCATGACAGCGCTACGCTGCCTTTCTGTACTGAGTATAACTCTTTGTGGGGTGTAGAGAAATGGCAATGCCGTTATGCCCGGAGACTCCGGTGGTTGTATAACAACGGTCCGCTAATAGCAGTTAAGCCTTGCAAAAACCAATTCTACTTGAAATACCGGCTTATCTGTAATTTGTCGGCCATCCACAGACCCACCCTAGACGGAACTGCCTTGGTTTCTAAGGTCATTAAGGATCAGGTTAAGCGATCGACCCGAGCAGCGGGCTCCCATCTCGTCGGCGCCAATTCAGAGATGGTCGATTAAATGGCGGCG